AGGGGCACTCTTAGGGACAACTGCAATCCTAGGGGCCTTCTCAGGGAAGGCGGCGTCCACAGGGGCTCCTCCAGGAACAGCCGAGCTTCCATGGGACTCTCAGGGAAGGCAACGCTCCAAGGGACCCTCGCAGGGACGGAAACGCTCCTAGGGACCCTCACAGGGACAGCGCCGCCCCCATGGGATCTCCTAGGGGCACTGGTGACGTTAGGGGTCCTCACAGGGACAGCCATGATCACTGGGGCCTTTCCCGGGACAAGGGCTCCTCCAGGTACGTTCCTAGGGACCGTGGTGCTTCCAGCGGCCCTGTCAGCGGCGGTGGCGCCTTCAGGGGCCCTTCCAGAAGCGGTGGCTCCCCCCAGGCCTCTTTATGGGGCGCCACTGCTCCCAGGGACCCTGCCAAGGCCTGTGGCTCACAAGTTGTCCTCCTAAGGGAGGCGGTGCCCCAAAACAATGGATAGTGATGTCGCACATATTGCATTCTTCCAGTAATATTTTCCAACTTAACTGTGATTGGTGGAATAAGAGGAACGTCATCAACAAATTACAGCCAATAGGAAAAACAGAGGAATCAGTCAGCACAACACCCCAACTTATGTTTTGCTGTTGGATATTTATTCTCCTTTTTCATTGTTCAGGCTATGGCAATACTGAAAAATGCTCTATGGACAGTGTTTATTTATTTTAACGCTGTATCTTCCAGAGAATAGTGAAACGAGAATAAATATCCAACAGCAAAAAACAAAGACGAAGTATTATACTGACTTTATTATATTCTCCTAATAACAGCAATTTATTCAGTACATCTTGCTCACCAATCACAATTAAAAGACTACTGAACGGAAATAAAATGTATGACAAAACAATAATAAGTTCTTAGGGCGATACCCATATGTGGAGCCTAGAAGTGTACCGTAGCCCCTGGCAGAGACCCTGCCGCCCCTGGAAAGGCACCCACTGCGACTAGGAGGGCCCATACCAGCGCCACCGGCCCTAGAAGGGCCTATAGGGGTGCCGCAGCCTCTGGCAGGGTCCTTGGGGGCAGAGGCGCCCCATAGAAGGACCCTGGGGGAGACACCGCCTCTGGAAGGGCCTCTGAATGTGCCACCGCTGTGGTATGGCCCCTGGGAGCGCCGCCGTCCCTGGGAACACCCCTGAAGGCGCCCCCGTCCCTGTAAGGGACCCTGGGATCGCCACTATCCCTGTGAGGGTCACTTGTCCATGCCAGGCAAGGAGGCACCCCCAAGGCCATCTCAGGGTCGGCGGTGCCCCCAGGGGACCATTCAGGGGCGCTGGATCCACCAAGGGCTCTCTTAGGGACAACTGCAATCCTAGGGGCCTTCTCAGGGAAGGCGGAGTCCACAGGGGCTCCTCCAGGAACAGCCGAGCTTTCATGGGCCTCTCAGGGACGGCAACGCTCCACGGGACCCTCGCAGGGACGGCAACACTCCTAGGGACCATCACAAGGACGGCGGCGCCCCCATAGGCCCTGCTAGGGGCGCTGGCGACCCTAGGGGCCCTCACAGACACAGCCATGATCCTTGGGGCCTTTCCAGGGACGGGGGCGCCTCCAGGTACGTTCCTAGGGACCGTGGTGCTCCCAGAGGCCCTTCCAGCGGTGGTGGCGCCTTCAGGGGCCCTTCCAGAGGCGGTGGCTCCCCCCAGGCCTCTTTATGGGGTGCCAATGCTCCCAGGGACCCTGCCAAGGCCTGTGGCTTACAATAGGTCCTCCTAGGGGAGGCGGCGCCCCAAAACAATGGATAGTGGTGTCGTACATATTGCATTCTTCAAGTAATCTCTTACTTAACTGTGATTGGTGGAATAAGAGGTAACGTCATCAAACTACAGCCAATAGAAAAACAGAGGAATCAGTCAGCACAACACCCCAACTTATGTTTTGCTGTTGGATATTTATTCTCCTTTTCATTGTTCAGGTTGCGATAATACTGAAAATGCTATGGGCAGTGTGTATTTTATTTAACGTCATATCTCCCAGAGTTTAAAAAGTGAAAGGAGAATAAATATCCAACAGCAAAGCATAAGTTGGGGTGTTGTGCTGACTGATTGCTCTGTTCTCATATTGGCTGTAATTTGATGACGTTACATCTTGCTCCACCAATCACAGTTAAGCAAGGGATTTCTGGACGAATGCAAAATGTATGACAAAACAATGAGGTTCTTGGGGCGATGCTGCATGTGGAAGGGCCCCTGGGGGCGCCGTAGCCCCTGGCAGAGACCCTGCCGCCCCTGGAAAGGCACCCACTGCGGCTAGGAGGGCCCATACCAGCGCCACCGGCCCTAGAAGGGCCTATAGGGGTGCCGCAGCCTCTGGCAGGGCCCTTGGGGGCAGGGGCGCCCCATAGAAGGACCCTGGGGGAGACACCGCCTCTGGAAGGGCCTCTGAATGTGCCACCGCTGTGGTATGGCCCCTGGGAGCGCTGCCGACCCTGGGAACACCCCTGAAGGCGCCCAGTCGGTGTAAGGGTCCCTAGGACCGCCACTATCCCTGTGAGGGTCACTTGTCCATGCCAGGCAAGGAGGCACCCCCAGAGCCCTCTCAGGGACGGCGGTGCCCCCAGGGGACCTTTCAGGGGCGCTGGATCCACCAGGGGCTCTCTTAGGGACAACTGCAATCCTAGGGGCCTTCTCAGGGAAGGCGGCGTCCACAGGGGCTCCTCCAGGAACAGCCGAGCTTCATGGGCCTCTCAGGGACGGCAACGCTCCACGGGACCCTCGCAGGGACGGCAACACTCCTAGGGACCATCACAGGGACGGCGGCGCCCCCATGGGCCCTGCTAGGGGCGCTGGCGACCCTAGGGGCCCTCACAGAGACAGCCATGATCCCTGGGGCCTTTCCAGGGACGGGGGCGCCTCCAGGTACGTTCCTAGGGACCGTGGTGCTCCCAGAGGCCCTTCCAGCGGTGGTGGCGCCTTCAGGGGCCCTTCCAGAGGCGGTGGCTCCCCCCAGGCCTCTTTATGGGGTGCCAATGCTCCCAGGGACCCTGCCAAGGCCTGTGGCTTACAATAGGTCCTCCTAGGGGAGGCGGCGCCCCAAAACAATGGATAGTGGTGTCGTACATATTGCATTCTTCAAGTAATCTCTTACTTAACTGTGATTGGTGGAATAAGAGGTAACGTCATCAAACTACAGCCAATAGAAAAACAGAGGAATCAGTCAGCACAACACCCCAACTTATGTTTTGCTGTTGGATATTTATTCTCCTTTTCATTGTTCAGGTTGCGATAATACTGAAAATGCTATGGGCAGTGTGTATTTTATTTAACGTCATATCTCCCAGAGTTTAAAAAGTGAAAGGAGAATAAATATCCAACAGCAAAGCATAAGTTGGGGTGTTGTGCTGACTGATTGCTCTGTTCTCCTATTGGCTGTAATTTGATGACGTTACATCTTGCTCCACCAATCACAGTTAAGTAAGGGATTTCTGGACGAATGCAAAATGTATGACAAAACAATGAAGTTCTTGGGGCGATGCTGCATGTGGAAGGGCCCCTGGGGGCGCCGTAGCCCCTGGCAGAGACCCTGCCGCCCCTGGAAAGGCACCCACTGCGACTAGGAGGGCCCATACCAGCGCCACGGGCCCTAGGAGGGCCTATAGGGGTGCCGCAACCTCTGGCAGGGTCCTTGGGGGCAGAGACGCCCCATAGAAGGACCCTGGGGGAGACACCGCCTCTGGAAGGGCCTCTGAATGTGCCACCGCTGTGGTATGGCCCCTGGGAGCGCCGCCGACCCTGGGAACACCCCTGAAGGCGCCCCCGTCCCTGTAAGGGACCCTGGGATCGCCACTATCCCTGTGAGGGTCACTTGTCCATGCCAGGCAAGGAGGCACCCCCAAGGCCATCTCAGGGTCGGCGGTGCCCCCAGGGGACCATTCAGGGGCGCTGGATCCACCAAGGGCTCTCTTAGGGACAACTGCAATCCTAGGGGCCTTCTCAGGGAAGGCGGAGTCCACAGGGGCTCCTCCAGGAACAGCCGAGCTTTCATGGGCCTCTCAGGGACGGCAACGCTCCACGGGACCCTCGCAGGGACGGCAACACTCCTAGGGACCATCACAAGGACGGCGGCGCCCCCATAGGCCCTGCTAGGGGCGCTGGCGACCCTAGGGGCCCTCACAGACACAGCCATGATCCTTGGGGCCTTTCCAGGGACGGGGGCGCCTCCAGGTACGTTCCTAGGGACCGTGGTGCTCCCAGAGGCCCTGCCAGCGGTGGTGGCGCCTTCAGGGGCCCTTCCAGAAACGGTGGCTCCCCCCAGGTCTCGTTATGGGGTTCCAATGCTCCCAGGGACCCTGCCAAGGCCTGTGGCTTACAATAGGTCCTCCTAGGGGAGGCGGCGCCCCAAAACAATGGATAGTGGTGTCGTACATATTGCATTCTTCAAGTAATCTCTTACTTAACTGTGATTGGTGGAATAAGAGGTAACGTCATCAAACTACAGCCAATAGAAAAACAGAGGAATCAGTCAGCACAACACCCCAACTTATGTTTTGCTGTTGGATATTTATTCTCCTTTTCATTGTTCAGGTTGCGATAATACTGAAAATATTATGGGCAGTGTGTATTTATTTAACGTCATATCTCCCAGATTTTAAAAAGTGAAACGAGAATAAATATCCAACAGCAAAGCATAAGTTGGGGTGTTGTGCTGACTGATTGCTCTGTTCTCCTATTGGCTGTTATTTGATGACGTTACATCTTACTCCATCAATCACAGTTCAGTAAGGGATTACTGGAGTAGTTTTTGCACTATTTAGAACATCACATTTCCAAAAATATAGCATTCTGAAGAGGGTAACAGTGGATAGTATCTAACAGGAAAACATAAGTTGTGGTGTTGTGCTGACTGACTGTTCTCTTCTCCTATTGGCTGTAATTTGGCAGGTTAAAAGAATGATCCACCAATCATAGTTCAGTAAGAGACTGCTGGACGTAGGTAATGTATGACACAATGAACACGCATGCCATAGGGACCCTGAGGGCCCATGGGAGGGTCCCTGGGGGGACGCCGGCCCTTGGAGGATCCCTACAGGTCGCCTTCGTGTCTGGATGGGTCTTCAGGGATCCGCTGCCCCTGGAAGGGTTCGTGTGGGCGTCACCGACCCAAGGAGGGTTCATGGGATGGTCTCTGTTTGTGACCCTGCCCCTGGGAGGGTTTCTGGGGGCGCCACCGTTCCTGGGATAGTCCTTGGGTGAGCTGCCGACCCTCGGAAGGTTTCTGGAAGGGTCAGGGTGCCGCCGTCCATGGGAAGGTCCCTGGGGGCACCACTGTCCCCGGAACGTCTCTAGGGGTGCCGACACCCCTGGAAGGGTTCAGTGGGTTTCGCAACCCCATCCAGGGACCCTCCCAGGGGTGGAAGCGCATGCAAGGACCATCCCAAGGGCGGCGACGCCCTCAGCAACCCTCCCAGGGCCGGCGGTGCTCACAGGGACCCTCTCAGGGACGGTGGTGCCCTGCAGGGATCCTCACGGGGATGGTGACCCCCCAAGGATTCTCTAATGGCCGACGGTGCCCCCCAGGGACATTCCCATGGACAGCGGCCCCCCCAGTTACCCATCCTGGGACCCTCCCAGGGACGGCAGTGCACACATGGGCCATTTCAGGGGAGGCAGCTCCCCATGAACCCTCCCAAGGGCACAGTGGCATCCAGGAATCATCCCAGGAATCATCCCAGGGTCCCACTCAGAGGCGGCAGCGCTCCCAGGGGTCCTCCCAAGGACGACGACGCCTCCAGGGGCCCTGTCAGCGGCGTTGGCGCCCCCAGGGACACCCCCAGATGCGGTGGCTCCCCCAGGGACCTTTTCAAGAGCGGCGGCGCCCACAGCGGCCGTCTCAAGGACAGTGGATGCTCTCTCAGGGATGGCGGCGAATCCAGAGTCCCTCCCAGGGGCAGTGACGCGCCCAGGGGCCCTCCCAGGAGTTTCGGTGCCGCGATTTTGGTGTTAATGTGTTATTCTGTAAGTACTTAATTAGTTAAACCCATTAAATTTCAGTTCTTAATTAAAAGTATACTTTTGGCCTAAAATTAGATTTTGTTGAAAATCACATTATACTGTAGGTACTCCTGAGCATGGTGATTTCGAATATATGCTCCACGATTCGATTGTGGGGTAAATAGGGGCAGTGGCGCTCCCAGTTGCCCTGTGTGTGTGTGTGTGTGTGTAAGGAATCATGGTATATTCTGAAGGAGTTAACAGCATATTTTTCAGAAATATTTGATATTGCCAACTTTTGGTGTGGGTGGTGTGTACTGGTGCGTGGCTCGCCTGACACAGCCACCAGTAACTTGCACATGTAACAAAATCCGTGGCTGCCAGGGATCTTGTTGGCAAAAATTATCAGGGTATTAAAAATGCAATTTTCTTTATTAGTACATATCTAATTATATGAAGATATTATTAAAAATAATATTTATTTACAGTAATGTCAACAGGAAGCAAAACACACACAAGAAAAATCAGTTAAGATGGCACAGTCGCCCTGTGTATATGTGTGCCTACCTCTTCTACCATAAGAATTATACTCAATGAAAACTTATAAAAAGTAAATAATACTAAATTGTACTGAAAAAAATACTTGCGTACACAGAAGACGAAATTTTATGGCTTAAGAAATACTTAGAATATTTATACCAAAAAGTAATCTCTTGTTAATCTTATTCAATAATCAAAATTTATAATTTTTTTTTTTTTACTTTGGCAACTGAAACAGCAAGGTAGCAGCCTAACGTGTCAGTGACCATTTATTACCATGTCATGCGATAAAATCAGATCATACTAACTTGAGAATACTTTCAAGATCACTACTTGACGATGCGTTCAAGTTTCTACTACTACTACTGCGACACTACTCCTTGGCACGATGGAGGCGGCGGAGACGACGCTCACCAATCATCTTACACTTATGATAATTTTTCGCAACAGCACTAGACACTCTTAACACACATCACTGACGTCACCCATACCTTTTAAGCTCCGCCCACGGTCTTACCCACACACACACACACACACACACACACACACACACGTTTATTATTATTATTATTATTATTATTATTATTATTATTATTATTATTACACACACTTCCATATATCCCATACCCATTCTCTTATTATCCGCCTGCACACCTCAACCTTCATCATGAATATTAAAAATAGTCAAGATGGTTAGAGAGTTGTGTTGAGATTGAGAGGCGTGTGTATGCAGGAGTTGATTGTTGAACTTGAGCAGAGATACACTGAAGTTGTCTTCCGTGGGTGAGGGAGGTGAAGGGGTGTGGATGAGGGAGGTGTAAAGGTGTGTGTGAAGGATGTGTAGGGCTGTGGGCGAGGGAGGTGTAGGGGTGTGGGCGAGGGAGGTGTAGGGGTGTGGGTGAGGGAGGTGTAGGGGTGTGGGTGAGGGAGGTGTAAAGGTGTTGGTGAGGGAGGAAATAGCCGCAGCACACCATGCTGGTCGTCCTAAATTGTTGAGGTAAGATGACGGATCCCAGCGGTGCTGCACCACAACACCGCCTTTCACTTACCATCATCCTTGCTGATATATTATGGATCCGCGTTATCAAGATCCTTTATAGCATTATATATATATATATATATATATATATATATATATATATATATATATATATATATATATATATATATATAAGTTTTGTATATGCGGTTGTGGGTGTGTGAGTATCAGTTATATTTACACTACATTGTACACTGCACATTAGTTAACAACCTACAACAGGTGCGTGTAGGTGTAGAGGCAGGTATGGTCCACCAGATATACTGTATATAGGTTAGTGTGTGGTGGTTGACTTACCGGCCAGCGGGCAAGTTTTATCGCCGTGGGTGTCACACACACACACACACACACACACACACACACACACACACACACACACACACACACCAAGATAAATTTCCGGCAGCACATTATATGTGACTTGCTTAGAAGAATCGACAGCAGGAGGCAAGGGTGTTCTTGTTGTTGTTGTTGTGTTGAGACAGTAATACACGTCAGAGATACATTCCTGCTGGGGGACACCACTAAGGAAAGTGGAACACGAGCAATTATTATTGGGGGTCCCTGTTTTACAAGGTTACGCAATTCCCAGCAGAAGACGCACACTAGTCGGCACCACTGTAGAGTAGCGTAGTAAAAGTGTGGCAGCGTTGCACTGTGAATCACACCCGTAAGTGTGTCACATCCTACTTTACAGAAAGAACCAACACACGAACGCACGTTTGAACACACACTCACGCACACTGTGCGTCTCTTTGTGCTACCCAGCCAGCGATCACAGCGCTCACTGCCTCCTGTTATTACCGCTACGGAATGAGTAATAGTCAGAAAGTTTGTGAAGCGTTCTCTCCCGGCAGTGAAACCGTGGCAACACACACACACGCCATCAAGGAGGCCACACCCCACTACTGCTGCCATACACACCACATGTTTACCATACACTTTATAGCTTCAATCATACAGTAACTACACTACCATACACCATCTACCATACACTTTATAGCTTTGATCATGCAATAACATACACTACCATACACGTAATAGCATCAACCATACTGCAACATTCACTTCCGTGCACCATGTAACATCAACTATACAGTATATTAACATGCACTACCTTATATGTACTACCATACACCTTTTAGCTTAATCCACACATTAACCTATTTTATCATATATCCCTTTAGTCCAACCATTAATTAACATAAATTACCATACACCATCTACTACTATAATCCATACATGTAAAACCATACACCAAACATCCGTTACAATACACTATGTAACCACGACTACACAGTAGCCTATACTACCATACACATACTGCACCATACACCAACCATGTTGATTCACACAGTAGCCAACACAAGCATAAACAATGTTACCTCAATGTAGCCTCAACCACACAGTAGTCTTAGACAGTGGTTCTCAAACCTTTTAAACCTGGAAATTTGGAACCAGTTAATTCAGAAAACTACACACACAAATACCTTATACAGGTATCTCTTATGGTACAAAGTAAAAATATATAACTAGTTTCTCATCAACATTAATGAATTTTACAAAAATGTCTTCGCTCTCAGTTCAGTAAACAATGCACCACACATAAATATCGTGAACCATGAGAGCAGTGAGTTAGGTGGGGCGACTCTTGCTGATTCCTTCATCACAGGTTATGCTCAGGTAGCTACGTTTCATAGACCCACTTTGAGGCAGGAAACAGGTCATCAAAGCTTCATAGTGGGATGTTCTCTGATCCACCCCATCATCTAGAAAGGTGAGAAAGCAGAAGAATATCATGAACTAAAATCTGCGTACAGTGCATGATAGTGAGAGTAAACGTCTTAATTACCTCGCCAGAATAATACTGTTCTGTTCAAATGTGATATTATTTGTTTATAGATGTAGAGAGTGTAGTTTATGGCGTGTGTGTGTGGTGGGACACGCACGTACGGATGCTGGTGTGTGAGTGAGTGTGTTAGCAAAATCAGTTAGTAGGCCGTGATAATGACAACATACACTAGGTGCATGGCCCCTGAAGTACGCTACCCACACCCACCACCAGTAAAAGTGTTCCCCGCGGAAGATGACCGTCCACACTTTCCAGGAGACGTGGGCCAGTTGCGTCAGGTGAAGGAAAGTAATTCTCCTAAAGTGTTAACGCAGGCATGTACCGGGAAGGACCTGGGTGAAGGCTGTGGCGTCACATCCCTCCCGCCCGGACATACAGATGAGCGGTTCTCTGGCCTGGTCTGGTCGGGTCAAGAAGGTTGCGTGTATAGTCACACTGACCCACTAAGCTGTGTCCTGTCTCCATCGATGAAGCACACACCAGAAATATTCCACAGTTCCGGCTGTGTGCGCGCGCGTGTGTGTGTGTGTGTGTGTGTGTGTGTGTGTGTGTGTGTGTGTGTGAGAGAGAGAGAGAGAGAGAGAGAGAGAGGTGTAGGTCAGTAGGCTGCCTGGGAATGACGAGTAAGAGAGAAGTGAAGATAATACAAGAAGACAAATAGAGATGCAGAAAAATGAGGAAAGTATGAAAGGGAGTATGGCGAAATCAGAGGGAAAGGCTCAGGTAGGAATACTATACATCATATAAAGTACAGAGACGGTGAAGTTAAGGCGGTAAGTAGAAGTGTAAGAAAGTATTAAAGTAGTATCTGAAGTTAGGAGTAATCAAGCTTCGATTTATCATAAGATTTCGGCTACATGTAAAACTTTAATGATTATCTAACCTGACCTGACCTGACAAACTTAGTAGTATGTAACTTTTTTCTCAGTAAATTAATTTAATATAATACGCTGGCTTCTCGACCAACCACTTACTGCCAAAAAAAAAAATGGCACCATGGGGAGAGGAACGACTGGTTCAACCTGAAAAAAAGGATACTCGTTAATTCAAGTCGATATCCTATATTTTATTTTATTTGTTTATTTTCAATTGTGATCATCGTCTAGGATTGCTTGTTACAGGGAAGAGTCAGAAAAGCTTATTAGGATACTTTACAGGTGTTAAATGCTAGTAATGAGTTCTGTACACACACACACACACAAGGAGGCGGGGGATACAGACACATACTTGTTAACCGGATCTCTTAAAAACTGAGGTTCCGTAAGAGAATACCTGCGTGTGTGTGTGTGTGTGTGTACTGCCCTCCAGTTAGGTGCCAGCTGACGCCTACTGGTATTCTTCTTAGATCTGTGACCTCAAATACACAGAGTTCTAGGGGTGGTTATGGTGACAACATACACACTGGTAAGGTCCTTCAGCACCAACACTGGGAGGCCTCTACTAAGTTCTTAAAGTAACGTGTTTGTTGTTTTGTTATTTACAACACACCTGTAAAGAAAAAAACAAATTATGTAATACTAAAAATAGGTTTATTGTTTTATTATTCACATGTGTTTGGGAGCTCCTTCACCTTCAAGGCTCCTACACCAATGCCTTCTGTGCCTACTAAGTAATCTGCTACTGCATAACATAACACAACGTATAGACAGTGTGAGCGATGTTCTGCACTAGTCTGAAAAAGGCAACAGTTTTCTGAGGACCGCGGCCATCATTTAAAAAAAAAACGTAAATTGATGGATAACTAAAGTATTTTGACAGCCAACAGTAGACGTACAACTTGTTTATATTATACCTGGAAAAGAAGATGTTTATATCTTCAGGATTAAAAATTATTTGCAATAAATATCTACAGTAGCAGATATCAATCAACAAATTATCTAGAATACGTTTAGACAAAACACTTCGTAAAACAGGTATTTTTAGTGTGCTTCATAAATATTTTATTTGGCTTATATAACACATGACTAAAGTAGGTCATCTATCTTAGTGATGAAAGAAGTTCTTTAACAAGTGTGTATGGACGAAAAACTAAATCCTATCATTGTATTAAAGCTTGAGCCAGTACGAGTAGTAAATGATGTCTGGCCATAGTCTGAGGTATGTACTGAACTGTGTACGTGAGGGAGAGGTGGTTACTGTCTACTCATCGGCTACAGCATCCCAGATCTTACTCTGAAGAACAGTCATAAATCTCATCAAATAAGCATTATAATGACTTTCTTCACTATCCTTGGTCAAATCGACTTCCTACTTATCATTGTTTGTATACCTGCACTGTCAATGTACATTGTTTGTATACCTATGCCATGTACACCGTTTGTATATCTGCACTAATAATTTTCACTGTATACCTGCACTGTCTAAATACATAATCCACCTGCAGTATCTATATACAATCTAATTCAGTGTAAACTTGTATGACAATCTAACCGAATATCAATCTACATTAGCTACCCATTTTGTATATAGAAGTCGTCTGTTCAATACACATCCGTCTGTAGTGGAACCTTCACTGCTCCGTTCACTCCGGAAAACTCTTACAGGGTCATTGACCGCTGACACACCGTCCCGTCCAACAGTCTTATCGACAGTCTTTCTGGCGAGTCTCTGATAATTGAGGTTAAAATAAGAGGACTGATTGTGTTTATAGGATACCGGAAGTGTTCATGTCATAAGAGGCAGTGTGGGAGAGGCAGTGTGGGAGGCAAAGGGTGTGAGAGGCAAAGGGTGTGGGGCAGTGTGGGAGGCAGTGGGTGAGGGGCAGTGTGGGAGGCAAAGGGTGTGGGGCAGTGAGTGACAGGCAGTGTGGGAGGCAGTGGGTGAGGGGCAGTGTAAGAGGAAAAGAGTGAGAGTCAGTGTGGGAGTTACAAATTGAGAGGCAGTGTGGGAGGCAGGAAGGTAAGAGCCATCATAGAGATACTTGTACGACACAGTACTGACCACCCTGCCCACAGACCTCCACCCAGCCCCCACACCTCCACCCAGCCCCCACACCTCCACCCCCCCACACCTCCACCCCCCACCCCACACCTCCACCCCTGCCCTCACACCTCCATCCGGCTCTGCCACCCACCCGGCTCTGCCACACCCACCCTCCCACCAGCACCTGTCTCTGCCACCCCGCCCTCACACCTCCACCCCGCCCTCACACCTCCACCCCGCCCTCACACCTCCACCTGGCTCTGCCACCCCGCCCTCCCACCACTCCCTCAGGGTCATCCAGTATGGTTATCTTATAAGCCAGGACCTGATCCCTTAACTTACTCATTACTAAATTATTAGCCAGAATAAAACCCTTAAAGTTGTTCTTAGCTTCAGAGGTTAAGAGAGACAGTCTTAAAGGCTGGTACAGTGAGTGTTCGTTGTAACTGAAGACTGAGTTAAGCTAAAGGAACAGACTAAAAACATCTGTATTACACTAAGACTCTACCTGAACTAAAAACGATCTCTTGGCAACAGTTGGGAGACACAATTACGGAAAAAGTTGTTTCATATTAATATCATTGTCTGTTAAGAGAACTTTTCTACTTGATAGAGCAGCTCGATGAGCGGCTGACAAACAACCCGAGAACTAACAACTTGAATCTGATCCTGAATGGAGTGTCCTCAAAGCTGCCATCACAACGACCTACAGTGAGACCCTCGGCCAGTCAAAAAGAACAAAAAGAGATTGGTTTGACGAAAATTACCAGGAAATCGACGTACTTCTCTCTGGTAAACGTGCTGTCTTCATTGACTGGAAAAACTACCCTCATTTTCAGATCAAAGTAACTACGTTCCGCCAACAGCAGGCAATGCTCCAACAGCAAACAGAGCCAAGCCCACCTGTGCATCCGACGGCCAGCTATCCTCCACCCTGTGCATTAGTGAAGTGCACGGCGAAAAATTTTACGTAGGGAGTCAGGGAGAATGAAAGAGAGGTGAGGAAGGAGGCATGAAAATGAGAGGCAGGTAGGGAAGGAGTCCGAGAGAATGAGAGGCAGGGAGGGAGGGAGTCAGGGAGAATGAGAGGCAAATAGTGAGCGAGGCAGCGAGAATGAGACAGATAGTAAGAGACAGGAAGAATGAGAGGCAGGAGGGGAGGGGGGATGTGGAGGTAACTGTAGTGTACATCTGTCATGGTGATCGACCTTGTTTCGGGGCTACAGTGCGGAAAATGGACCGAGGCCGCCCCTCTGCCGCGCCATCCTCACCCCCGAGTACCGCAACTTGAGGAGACTTCATTAGTATCCCTCAGTCATGCCGACAACTTTTTTTTTTACGAGATGATTCAGATTCCCGGAATACTAATAAAGAGATGAGACTTATTGCGTAATGTAAGGGTAATAAATGTGTGTGGCATTCTGGAGAGACCACCAAAAGGGGAGCTACGTCACTGGTAGGGGAATTATTGGCGTTTCTGGCAGCCGTATTGACCATAAGAGCCGGATGTGGGGGGAGCCCAAGCAACACAATCACTAGTAATTTACTCTCCTTCACTTAAACCATCAGTAGTGTACCACATATTCTCCAGCGACAAGACCCAACCCACCATGACACTCAACAATTGCATATAAAGACACAGGTGAGACCTTACTAGTTACCTTAATGACCTCACTTATCTCTACTGTATTAGGCAAAAGTTGTAAGTAATAGTTATCATCATGATTTAAGTTAATTATTATTGTAGAAAAATATACGAAATGCTACGTGATTTTATGAGTGTAGTGGACGGGGTGTCACACACCATAGTAACCAAGTGTGCCGTTCTCTTCTTGGCCCACTTGCCTCCCGCGTTGAAAACAGTGCTACCAAAGACCGGCTCTTTCAAACTCTTTATAAGGTGTAACGATTTATCCTACTGATCCTTCCGTGTACATTAAGTATTAATCCTGGCCCTAAATACCAGATAAACATTTTGAGGCCCTAAAATTTCACATTGTTTAACGTAGTTTCATCCAAGAACTTTGACCGATATATACGCGAATGCAGGCGGTGGTGGAGACTGGCTACGGTGTCGGCACCTAACGGGAATCACGTGTTGCGTCATTGAGGAGCAGAGCAGCACCCAGGGCGTGACTCTCACAGTGCGCACGGCTGCCTCCCCAACCTTGTTTCTCATGTGTGTCACCTTCCTCAAATATTACCTCTCTTCCGGATTACAGAAAATGATTATTACAGAGAATATGATATATTCAGTAATATGTGGAATGAAAGGTAATGTAATGTTATAGTCTGTGCTGTAGTGCAATACTGTAATTCTTCTCTTCCTGTGAGATAAACTATAACTGAAGACGTGCCACCCACACAATGCTAGAAGAAGCCCCACTTACATGCATTATCATACACCACTCAACACACTTACAAGCCACTGTTACCACACACACAAACACACAATAAACACATACAATAAAAACAAAATATTTAGTGATATATCGTAAATGAACTCGACTTAAGACCCATTTATAGTAATTGGAGAAACACTTGATCAGCCCAGTGATCCATATGATAAGTCAAATGTATTGAAACTTTAATGCAAGTGAAGAACGCATGTAATAAACAACTTAATGAATCACTAAGGCACATTACAGTAACAAAAACATCATTAACTAGTAAACCATCTGGCGGAACAATATTTAGCGACAAAAAATCTAAAGAACCGCATTTGTGAACCTCTTATAGTGAACCGCGTCTGATGGATCCCGGTGAATGAAGCACATAATGGATCATCAAATAAACCACATCTGGCGGTGAACATTCAGTGGACCACATCACATGGTTCACACTCTGATGAAGGACACCTGGCGGATATACAGTAAATCCCCTGAGCGGTTAACAAACACCACTTAACCTTAACATACTCAAGTAATACCCTAAGATGACCTAAATCCCCGTACAGGAGCCGAACCTAATGGATCAAGTCGACAAACAAGTAATGAATCATCTCAAACGGACCTCTTCCAATACAATATTTATATCGAGTAACTTGGTGTTCAGCTCACAAGCCTCCCCACTACTGACCTACTTTCTCCAAAATTAAATATATTCTTCCTTCATTAATCTAGTCCCATCTATCAAGTTTCACGAAGACGTACTCACTAGACAGATATACAGAACCACAGCGAACTCCTTAATCCCTCTTGTTGGTCGTCCATGGCTGAGTTAATAAAACCACATTTAATTATGTACGTTCAGTGGTTCATGAACTATTAACCCCTTGTGGTTACCAGGGAAAACATCAGCCGCACTCTGATTGGTTAAATTTTTGACGTCGTCATTGCTCAAGTGCTGACTGGCTGCATTTTTTTGACGTAGGAAACAGAGAGTAAATAAAAGTGACGTGTTACAGTGACGTGAAGGTTGTGGAGGAAAACAGTGCTACGCTTACTGGCCACATTATTCTGAACAACAAGCAGCCAACAACTCGTAAACAAACTGTGTCCGCGAAATTTCCCTCAACATATATTTATCGTATTATTCAACAGTTATAATGAAAATGAAAATTACCTACACACACACACACACGCGCGCACACGCATGTGAGTATATGAGTGACGAACGGTGTATGTGAAGAAGGAAGGTCTCAACTTTCTTATGTAATACTAAACTGATCAATCACTGAAGATCTGTAACACAAGCAGCTACCAAGCGTCCATCAGCCAGGCCGGGACTGCATGGAACGCGTACACAATCTTTAAGTCTAAAATAAACAACTCTATACCAACTAAACCTAACCAAACTGATCATCAGGTTATGCTTGGTTATATATTTTTCTATTTATTTATTTATTTTAGAAAAATGACGCTTCGTGTTTCAATCAACAATCACAGCGAGGATGAAGGACTCGGTCACACGTATCTTGCTACACAATCTTCATGACACAGGAGCTGCAACACATCACTTTAATTACTCCCAGTTCCCATGTCGAAAATTTAGTCAATCAGTGTCTGGGCCACAGTGAGGTTAAAAGCTGGACCAACGAGAGATTGGCTAACGCTCTTTGTTTAGCCGCAAGTCTTCTAACCTTACTGTCTTGAAATATTTCCTGTAAACAGCATAGACAGAACCAGGTCTAGCCGTCCATAACCTGTCACCCTCATCCAAAGGAACATGTGCAGTGAAGGACAGTAAATGAAGTGTGACTAACGAGCCGCTCAGTGAACTAATTGGATGTTTTCACGCTGTAAGTTTGTTAGCGTAGGGGTGATCCTCCCTGGAGTTAACTGTGTGCTTCTCACACCTCTCGACGAAGGCAGTTTTTAACAACTCTGAACTTATCGACAATATGAAGTAAAATCTTTTCTAGAGAGTTTGTAATCGGTTCAGCTGGTATTTTAAGTTTCCAATTTGTCTTTCCTATTTAAAGTGTAAACATAAATTGGGCAAAATGTAGACGATCTTTATGCGATACGATTTATTTATTGTTTATATTTGTGTTTTTTGTTGTTGTATTTGTCATCTATACTGCTCCTCAAAACTCTGAGTGTCTTATGAATCATCGTGTCTTATAAACACTATTATAAAATCCTCTATTTTTATTTCTCTTTATTTTTTCATCCACTTTTGATTGTGTCTATGCCTTTACAGACTCCCACTTATGGAGGGATGTCGTGCTGCTTGTGAGAGAAGGACGCCACTTGCAGACTGCGCTAGGTGCTACCTCTGCCTTACCCGCTCACTACCCCACACCTTCTTCCTGTTCACCACCGCCTCTCTCACCTTACCTCCCCACTCCTACACCTCACTTAATATATATTTTAATTAATGGGGTCTATTTTTAGTTAATGGGGTCTATTTTTAATGAATGGGGTCTATTTTTAGTTAATAGGGTCTATTTTTAATGAATGGGGTCTATTTTTAGTTAATGGGGTCTTAATTTTAATTAATGGGCGTTATTTCCCACTGCTTTAAGAATTAAGTCCTAGTTCGTGGGAAATTAATTTTGAAAATAGTCAGACTGGCTCATGTGTAGAGTACTACAGACCATACACCAATCCTCAAACAACTCCCTCTTCATGTCATTCTCCACATCTTTCTCACCGGGGTGATTTTTGTCGGGTTTTTTTTGCCCCTTTTCCCGCTAATTTTGTCATTGGCGATTTTTGGCTGTTCTTCCCGCTACTGCATGCTCCTGCTACCTATAAGACATACAGGTCCTATATACGACATACAGGTCCTATATAAGACATACAGGTCCTATATAAGACATACAGGTCCTATAAAAGACATACAGGTCCTATATAAAACATACAGGTCCAAGTTGGTCTCCTACTCACCCCATGGTTAGTGGTGACCTGAGGGTTAACCCCCGGGAGAGTGAGCAGTTAGGTCGGTGTACGTGCTTATCTTTTACATCTGGGTGACTGAGCTCTGGCTGAACCTCCCGCGTGATGACATACGAACAGACATTACTGAAAATAAAACAATTCATATATGTAGAAAGTAAATAATAACAACAACAACAACAACAACAATAATAATAATAGTAATAATAATAATAATATTACTACTACTACTACTTATAATAATAATAATAATAATAATAATAATAATAATAATAATAATAATAATAATAGTCTAAAAAGAGATATATATATATATAACCTCCAAATTGTACCTATCAACATAAAACCTCAAAGAACAATGAATACAAAAAAAAAACGGAGACAATATTAAAAGTTACAACATTTAAGAGAATTATTACATCTGCATTCTGTCATTAACATCAGCATTTTGTCCCACCTCCAAAGTCTGCCAGTTTAGTGCTGATGTTAGAGGCTGAGAACTGTGTCTGTGGGTGGGTGTGTGTTAATGTCATTGTGTTGCTAAATATATATTTCCAATCTTAGAATTGCACAAAAAATTCAGGTGTATTGTAAAAATTCATTCTCTCGTTAATATATACATCACCAGAGAAATACAATAAACTAGTAAATTCATGAAGCGTGAATTACTGTGAGTCAGTGTAATGTAAGACAAGTTCATTTTCTTGATAATGAAGACTGGAGTAAAAATGTTGAAGTGGGCAAATTATCCACGTGGCTCGTGACCTGTGCACCGAGGTGTTGACTTTACCCTCAACATCATTTTTTCTTAATTATTTATCATTGGTAAAGACGAACAGAACATTGAGTGAAATTAAAGAGGAAACAGGGATTACGGAGTCTGTTTAATGGTGACCTACAGGGGGTCATCTACTGCGGTGGTTGACCTGAAGTAAGATAAGTTAGTTGAAATCATTTTTAATTTAAAACAGGCAGGTGTTAGTGAGGCGTCCAGGTGGGAGGTTGTGCGTGACAAGACTGAGGACACGCACACATGACCGACAACCCAACCCGGAATGAGGGCGAAGGTGGCACGTGAACCGTAAGCCTTTGTTGCTACAGCTCACCTCCACTCCCCGCCCCTCGCCACACCCTGACCAGGACCTCCACCACCCAACACTTGCTCTATCCTGCCATCTTAGGTCAACACTGGTGCAGGCAGAGGGTGAGCCTTGTTCCAACACGCCCTGGTGAAGGTTCTGCCAGCGGAAGACACAATGTTCACTAATGTGGCCGCTGGTACACCTGGCACAGTCCTTGATGCAATATTTTTCTAGTTTTAAAGAGTTAATTACATGTGTAACTGAACTTGACTGCAAGTAGCACGCTGTTCCACCTTATGACGTGGTGTAAGACGAAGGTATTTATTGTTAAACATCAATGTTGTCTTCATTAAGTTCACCGACACATGAACGGTGGAACCCCGAACGTTTTACCCACACTACCCAGTATCTATTACTAGTTACACAAACATGTGCTGGCGGTTAACAAATAACACTTGAAGATAAGAACAAAATGATTTACATCAATAAAATCCTGAATACCACAGTAGACCACCACACTCAGGCACCTCACAGGATCCACACTTATAAATAGGTTAAAGTGTTTATGGACGGGTGACACAAACAGCTAAGGCAGGTAGTAATCACAAGAACGGTTTCCTTCAGTGCAAGTGTACAGTATATGGTGGGATTTATGACATAAGCGTCCGGATCCTTAAAGTGAGGAAAGCTGCAACACCTGGCTCCTGGCGCCCTCAACTACTTTATCAACTTTTCCAAAACGTACATTGTCTACTGAAAGTTAATTCCACTATATTCTGTTTACTCAGAATTAATATGACAATAAATCAAATAATGAGCGAAAGGGAAATATAATAAAATAGAGGAAGAAACGGGATGAGATAAAGAAGAAAAACATGTTGCTTGAAAACAAAGAGTAACCTTACGTAAGGCAGCGAGGAGGTGTGTGGTGTGGTGGCAGCACGGTGGGTCGGCCCTGGCATGCTGCCTGCTTGCCCTCTTCCTCCACAACCCTGGCGGCAGGGATGAGAAGTATACCCTCACGACCAACCGATAATGCCACCCCACCTCCAACCACATAAAACCTAACCTAACCTAGTGTGACACAACCTCACCCAGGAGACTGTGTACGGTCAAGTTACGCTCGGTTCAACATATTTAGTTCGGTCATCTGAAAAGTTCCACCGTGGCATCCTCATTGGGCCTTGTGGTGTGTGACGTCATGCAGCCAGCCCTGGTGGTGACGTAGGGCTGCTACTCCCTTCCACTATTGCTAACACTCTCTATCAAACCTTTAACAAAATATGACACCGATCACAGGCAGGAACTGGGTGTTCACGGAGAAACTGTAGGAACAAAGCGAGAGTTGTACCTGTGAAGCACATATGGCGCCACTGGTCACAAGCTGTCAAGTTAAAAAACAGACGAAATTTAGAAAAAAAGACGAAACATTAACCAAACAATCTGAAACTGTTGCCAGGTAAATAATCCTACATTCACACACACACACACACACACACACACACACACACACACCTATATATATTATACGTTCATAAACAATCACAAGTACACTATATTTTTGCCCCATGATATAACTAATTACGCTCTTTACCACTCTAAGATAATGCTATAGGAGTATAACATAGTTGTGGGTGTCCTACATACCTGCCTGTGATCAGCAGTAGGAGAGGCGTGGGAGTCCTACCTACACACCTGCCTATGTGGTGGTGATAGCAGGGCTGGTGGAGGTGTTTAAAAAGAATAGGACTAATATTAGTTCCTCTCTCTCTCTCATACATCCAGGAAGGTCTCCACTTGTTACACTTATACTTGAATAATAGAGAGAGAGAGAGAGAGAGAGAGAGAGAGAGTATCTGTACGCAAGCAAGTTGTGCGTATTTATGTATGAGTATGTGCACGTCTGTGTTCGTATGTAAGTATTCGCACGTGAGTCTATGCAGTATGCCTGTGTATGTGTTTACGGGGCACGTGTGTACCAGTGTGAGTACCAGGCCAGGAACCTAATGACAGATACACTGATTCAACACAAAATATGACAGAGAAATCAAACATCTGGAGCATGAAGGAAAGGAGTACTGTGATGATGATGACGTCGTGAGTTGTGCTCATTATCACCACCAGCAGGTGAGACATAATCATTACTCTGTCACTACATAAATCTACTTGAATTTACCTTAATTGTATGGAGCAGCAGCGGTGTGTGATTGACGCTTCATGACATTTCTAGAGTAAAAACAGTGATGGTCATAATGATTTAGTGAGGTGTGGTTGGTTAATAAAACACACACACACACACACACACACACACACACACACACACACACACACACACACACTATACTACTACTTTGCTGTCACTCGGAATCAAGTATGACGATCATCCAGCTATGATACAATAATATGGGTTAACCAAGATGCCACCGTTGGCGAGCTCTGAAGTGAATAGAGAGGCCGATACGGGACCGGCAAGGCCGTCCAGAGATGTTGCACGTGTGGAGGGCTACTTCTAGTGCGGGAGGGGCGGCGGCAGTTTCTTTCCGGCTCTGGCACTTGTGTGTGTCGGTATGAAGTTGAGCTAACTCGAAAATCATAAAAAATTCCAATGCGATGCTTTTCTAAAAGTTGCGGTGTGCATTAATCGTCTCCCAGGTGAGAGGAATCGATTTGGCACTTTTTCAGGTTTGTGTTAAGACTATCCTTACACATCTCTTTTTGGCCGTTAGCCTTAGATGAATGTAGAGCAACTGATTTGGCAGTCTACTGTTGTCCAGGCGGGTAACATGGCCAGTCCAACGTGGTTGTTCAAGGATAACACACACACAGTACTGGACCACGACCCATAGTAGTACTCAACACATACACAGTACTGGACCACGACCCATAGTAGTACTGAACCACGACCCATAGTAGTACTCAACACACACACACAGTACTGGACCACGACCCATAGTAGTACTGAAAACACACACAGTACTGGACCACGACCCATAGTAGTACTGAAAACACACACAGTACTGGACCACGACCCATAGTAGTATTGAACACACACAGTACTGGACCACGACCCATAGTAGTACTGGGACCACTACCCATAGTAGTACTGAACACACACACAGTACTGGCCCACGACCCATAGTAGTACTGAACACACACACAGTACTGGACCACGACCCATAGTAGTACTGAACACGCACACAGCACTGGACCACGACCCATAGTAGTACTGAACACACACACACAGTACTGGACCAAGACCCATAGTATTACTGAAAACACACACACACACAGTACTGGACCACGACCCATAGTAGTACTGAACACGCGCACAGCACTGGACCACGACCCATAGTAGTACTGAACACACACACACACACACACAGTACTGGACCACGACCCATAGTAGTACTGAACACACACACACAGTACTGGACCACGACCCATAGTAGTACTGAACACACACACACAGTACTGGACCACGACCCATAGTAGTAGTACTGGACACAGTCTCAGACCTAGTAGCACAGTAGCACTTAATTGTTAGTTTGTGCCACTGACACCGAATGGTTTTTTCTGAAGCCACTTGCAGCTGTTCCCTCTCCCAGGCAGACAAGCTGGCCACGACGAGAAACTTTTAATACTGTCATACTTTATATTGTTTGGGATATAATTACTAAGAACCGCCACAATTAATTAATCTCACAACAGCTCAACACCTACCGCACTGTACATTCCCAGCTCGTTACTATGGGAATCACCATCACTGCGAATCCTTCCTTCTCTTTAACCTAAACAACCATAAATTCCTTTTAATAGTCACCGATTTGTTTTTGTTCAAACTTCCTTCAGACCAGTTTATAAAGTCCTACTGACCGATTCTTGCCAGGCGAGTACAGTACTGGTGACGTTACGGTGGTGACTTACGAATAGTGTAGAGTGTGTGTGTGTGTGTGTGTGTGTGTGTGTGTGACCAGCATCTGAACGTGTATCACAATACCAGCTTAACTATCATAGTATCTTCCGTCAGCTTTAGCCGTCTCC